CCATTAAGTGCAGTAGTTATTCTTAAATTCTACAAAAAAGTATGGAAACATTTTGCATTTAAGATAAAAATAATATTTTTGTCTGTCAATATGCTCTATTCAGAACTCAAGTGGAAAAGTTTTAGTTTTACTTGGTTTAATTTCTTAAAAAGTCCTCTTTAGGTAGCGTTTTACCATCTAATTATCAATTGATTAATCTAAAAAATAATTGACAGTTTAATCAATTTGCAAAATAATGGTTAGTCACAGCACAAATGGAACACAGGATCAGCACCAAAAACTACAAACCATCTTGTTCCAAAGAAATTAAATGCAAATCTGATCTGATCATTTATACAACTTCTGACTAGGGTTGTCAAAAGTATCGATATTCAAAAAAGTATCGATACTGAAACGTTGTATCCGGATACAATACTCGTTTTTAAAAGTATCGATACAGTGCCACCACCAGTGGCACCTAAGCAGTCATTCATCTAAAGTGCAGAATAGAGTACAATGCACTTTTTGAACACTGTGTGATTGAATAATTCTCTGCACCTTTCAGTTTCAGACTTTTTTTTTGTAACAGGTGCAGCTGCTGAGAATTATTTTTGTTTCTTAACCGGTTGGGCTAGTGTCATTGTTATGTGTGCAAAGCAAAGCCAAGGAAGGAACACTTAATTTTAATTTTATAAGTTTTTTATCAAGCTTGCTTAATATTGTGCACAGCTAACAACCTCAAAATATTGTTCTTATTGTTTATTGTATTTATTTATTTATTGTATTTTATTTATTACTTAAAATATTTCTTTAGAATTTTGGAGTCTTTGTTTTTATCCTTGTGGTATCGAAAATGGTATCGAGTATCGAATATTTTCCTTAGTATCAGTATAGAGTTGGTTATTGGTGATTTGATATTGGATATTGAATCCAAACCAGTGTACTTCTCATGGAACTTTGATTTTCTTTCTTTTGCTGCTTATTTGTTCACAAATAATTTAAAGTACATTTAAATCTATGTTAATTTGTTACCTTTTTTATATTATGTCAAGGCTAAAGCTTTCATTCAAGATATATGGTTCATTAATTTAGCAGTTGAATAGGATTGGTATCGGATAACAGCCGACACGCTCAGCCCAGGTATCGGATTGGATCAGAAAAACTTGATAAGTGCATTGCTAAGGTATTTATGACTGGAGAAAGTTGGTCTGTGGGAATATAAATCACATAATTGCTTGGATGATTGATAAAGATCTCCTGATACAACTTTTTAATTTCTGGTTTGTTCCCAGTATTAACCCAATTCGATATTAGCAGAAGCTTGATCCAGTGTTGTTACTCAAAAGTAGAATAATAGGCATGAGAACAACTGACCCGTTTGTTATTGACCAGTGGGTTACATAAACTTATGTTGTAGATTGTAGATGCAGGCTGATATCAGGCCGATTTTCACTGTCGATATCAGATCAGAACATCCTGATCAAATGTTTTTCCTCTTTCAGAAAACTGTTTTGTTCTGACAGCGTGGAGCTAATGAACACCGTTGAAATGCTGGTCAGTCTGAGTTCCCTGGTGGATTATGTCCATATCACATAGTTGCCATAAGATCATCTCTACTAGCGTTTTGTGGTTGGGACCAAAATAAAAAAAAATTTTGTTTGTTTTTTTTAAATCAGTTTTGCAGTTCCAGTTATATTTAGATTTTTAAACTGACATTATGAAACCCAACAGGGCTCATTATTGTAAACCTTAGTAGACAGCATGTTGCAGTAGTAGCAGCTCTGAAATTATTTATTCTTTTGGCTTATCCACCTGTGAGTTTACTAGTCTAAAAATATACCTCCACCATGCACTTTGGCAGCAGATGCATTATTTAGCACATCTGCGGAGTAATTAAAGCTTAATTAGGGTTTTACTCTTGTCCCCATGGTGTTGCATCTTAGTGTGTTTTGAATATATTCTGACGGTGGTGGTGCAGGACTCCTTTAGCTTACAAGGAAAGGCTTAAGCTGAGGTCAGCAAGAGCAAAACTTTTGCTCAGTTTATGTTAGCTAAAAGGAGGGTTTTTGTTTTTATTATTTCTACAAACTGCATCAATTTAACATTAGACTTTAAAAGAATAATTTACTTATTTTACCCAATTTTTATAGGATATGAAATTCTCAGACCCTATAGATTCAGTACATGCAGACTGATATCTTTCTTAGTTTTGCTTGCTTAATTTTTGAAATTGGAGTTTACAGTAGGGCTGTACCAGACTGTTATTTTGATAATTGATTTAATGTGTCAATTATTTTTTTCGATTAATAATCAGATAGCAAAAGGTTTTGTAAAGAAGATTTTACACAGAATTAAACCAGATGAAACTAAAACTTTTCGACTTGTAGAGTTCTAAATAGAGCATATTGACAGGAGATACGTTTTTTTTTTTTTTATCTTAAAATGCCAAATTATATATTTTTCACAATCTTGGTATAATTTCTACCCCATTTGGGTTGCTTTGTCAGCTAAAGGCATTTTTTAGAGTCTTTATACTCCAGTTAACGATTACTAAATTGGTAAACAATTATTTTAATAATCGATTAATCATGATTAATCCGATTAACTGTTTCAGCCCTAGTTTAAAGGTTATTAAAAATCAATTGATGATATAGTATAGGAATATAATGGAATATTTTTAAGCTAAGTGGAAGGAAAAAAGTGTAATAGAAAGACAGAAACAGGGTTAAATAGGGGTTGTAAGGAGCTGAAAGCAAAAAGAACCGTTTGAGGAAATGCTTCACTGGGTTTCTTTAAAACTTCTTTAGAGCCACAGGCTGATTTTTCTTTATTCCATGTAGCATTAATGCAGTAATTCTTCTCAAAAAGCTCAGACTGACTGTTGAGTGCAAATACTGGACAGTGCAGCAATGTATTTTATAGTACACTTAAGTTTTTTTTTAATTCTTTTTATTCATATGATTTATTCTTCCAGTTACATCTGGAAGTTTTCTTCCAGTTTTCTTAGACACCAGATCAGCATCCGGGCATCCCTTAATTGTTGGCATAGTAATCTTACTTTATCCGAATTCTTACTCTCTTCTAGCATTTAGCAAATTGAATTTAATTTAGTAAAAAGAACTGAAATTGAACAGGAATTTTTTTTCTGATTTATGGCCTTTTGTCTTTTTTTTTAAGCTTTATTACAGTTTTTAAGATGCTATTGAATGACAGTTGTTTTATGTATCTATCAACATGCCATGTAGGAGAACATGTCTAATTTTTTATTGTAGCACCACTGTTTAGTGGAATGAACAGAGAAATTATATTAATTAAATAATAATGAATAAAAATGTATTAAATAAATGTTATGCACACCCTCTTACATTCAGTGTTATGTCATTATATAAGGTCACAACATTTCATCTCTGGATACTTTTACCCAGCTTTTGTTTTTGTTTTTTTATGGTAGTTGCCACAAATCCAAACACTCACAGTGCTTGTGCTTTTAGTGCATTCAGAGTTTATTGCCTAATGTGGTTCTACATCTAAGGGGTGTTGGTGTAGCTGCAGCCCAAAATTATAGCTGATCTCATTGGGTGAACATGTATCATGTGTCGGTTTCTTTGGTGTAATCCCGGTTCGCTCCTGTCCTAGTGCTAACAATTGGCCTGACTGTTACTCATCTGCAGCCTGCCTCACACAGTCTCATCCCGTCCTGACTCCAAGGTCTCTGTATTGGAGAACAGTCTTGGTGGGCGTGTCCATGCCTCGATTCAGACGTCAAGTCCTTTCCCCATTCATGACTCTGATTGCCTCGTCAAGGTCGGAGTGGTAATGGCTGATGGCGTAGAAGACGCCTCAGCGCACGTGATGAGCCAGTTGATGTGCTATCAGTTCATGCAGGGTGTTCATAGGTGAGAGCGTCCTTAAAATCTCCTCACATTCAGAAATCTACCAAAAAAAGTGAACAACAAACCAGCTGCTATCCTGTACTTTACAGCAAGCTTTAGTTCAACACCTGCTTTCTAAAACTCTCACTCTTGAGATGAAAAAAACATCCCAATCTTGTAATTCTATACTAATTGTACTTTTATTGAATCAGTTACCAATTTTTGCATAAATTTGACTTCTAAGTATTTTCGTTTGGTCTTGATATATTTAGAAATAGAAAATGTGCAATTGAAAAACCTTAGTATTCCATCCATCCATCCATCCATCCATCCATCCATCCATCCATCCATCCATCCATCCATCCATCCATCCATCCATCCATCCATCATTTATATAGCGCTGTAAGTCATTTAGTAAGATGTTATTTAAAGGATCTTGTTTAAAGGCTGCTAACAGCCATAAAACCATAGTGAAGTTTTGTATTTGCATCAAAAATTTGAATATAAAGGACAAAAAAAATTCAAAGGTATGGCAGCTTAACATGAAGAGTGGGGAAGCCCTGAAACAAACCATAAATTATTATAGCCAAAAGAGGATAAATTCTTAATTACAATAACCAATCTGTACTTTATCGGTCATACAATGTTCATGACATTACAACCCCCTGCTCCTTTTTCTCTGTTGGAGCAGATGAACTTTAGGCAACATATTGACAAAGGAAGTAATACTTGGAATGAAAGTTTGTACGCTCCTCACAATGTGTTTTCATAAGGTTAGATTTGACAAGGCTTTTTGGGGGGGTTACTGTTGCATCTTCTGTGGACTTGACCTGTTGAGCCACATTCCAGGCTTTTTCCATCAGTTTGTCTTCTAGGCAGTCAGAGCCCTTGGCACTCAGGCCGGTTCATCAAGTGTTTTTTTTTTTTTTTTTAGCAGGGGTTGACCCTGGACTGTGGCTACTTTTGGTAACACGTGATCAAAGTTATGGGGAGAATAATGGATCCCGAAGTTACATACATGAAAATGTTTTAAATAGCATTAGTGTAGAGCCGCTTTGTGTTGTTATATAGAGAAGAATCTAGGGGTTTTGCAACATAAGTTGAGAAAGAGCTTTAACCTGGAGGGTGTTTCCTCTCTCTGTGTCTCAGGTGTGGGCCCTTGCCAGACTGGCTGAAGGCAGAACCAAGAGCAAAACAAAATCCCTGAGCAAAAGAAGAACCACCACCTAGGGCTGCAGAGTAGGACCTTTGTGAAGGTGAGGATCTCATGTGAATTTTATTGTTATTTAGGCAGAACAATTTCTGGCAGGTTGGGTTTGGGTAGGGACCACAAAACTGTGTAGAATAACTGTTGGGCTGTTATCATTCACATTACATGATAACCTAGAGAACAATACAAACGTAAGATAAATGACCTACAGATATGGGTTTTGCATGCTGTTTTACTGCTTGAGACAAGGAGGCTCTTGTTTTTTTTATTCTGTTGTTTTTTAGTGCTCGAATCACTCTTTCATCTATTGTTAAGCTTGTAGGACGTGTGTTCATAAACATTAAATAACAGCTGAAATAATATCTGATTAAGTAAGATATTTTATCACCCCTACTGGGGAGGGCAATAATTATCTTAAAGTATCAGAAATATAAATTCCCAGCTGGCTGGGAATTGAATGGAATGTAAATTCATAATATTAATATGACATCCTGTCTGGATACAACAATATTTTAATAATCAATTGATCTGATTGTTTCAGCCCTAATGTTAATGCAAAAACTACTGACCCTATTGCAATATATTCATTTAAACTTTCCTCCATTTTGTGGTAAGTGCTAGATTGCAGCCTTTACTTCCTGTTTATTACAGCCATTTGGGCGATGTGATGTAGACGACGATGTAGGATGATTTAGCGCTTCGCAGTGCTTGGTTAATTTGTTTCAAACCAAATGGAAACTGCAAATTTGCTTTTATTTCCAACTTTTCAAAGTTTGCTTAAAATTTGCATTTCAGTTGGACAGAAACAAAGTAAGTCGATTGATGTACAGCATTCCGATTGATTTATTTATTTTTTTTTAAATCCTACTCGTTTTACTGATGAACATTAAGGAGATCCTGCTCACTCTGCCTGAAGCAGCGGTGCCTACTTTATTGTCTGTGGTATCACTGTACCAGGTTGGTTCTTGAACTGGGTAGGCCTGAATACTGGAGATTATTTATGGGGTATTGTAAAGAGGACGATGGGATGCCCAGTCACAGCGTTCTAGGCTGTTATTAGCATTAGCATATTCTCCCTGAACAGCTCAGATTTATGCCAGGGGTTTACTGCATCATAGCTGTTAGCTGTAGTCAAAATATGTAATTTCGATCAGCGATCAACTTTTGGATGATTCAGTGAGAAAATGAAGAACACCTGTATCCTTTTGGGTTCCCCTTGTTCCCAGGTTCACGCAGCCGTCTGCAGGGTGGAGCTTCCTGATCCATGGAGAATTACTTCCAAGCCGAGGCCTTCAACCTGGACAAGGTGCTGGACGAGTTCGAACAGAACGAAGGTGAGAAAACAGGTGAGGGGCGTGGTAATGCTGCCTCTGTGTCAGGGGAAAAGAAAAACAACGTTGTGGAGGAGCTTCCACCCATCACAGCTGACTAACATTCCAGGGAGGTGATTGAGGCCAGGCAGCGAGGGAATGCCACTAATTGGATTCGCCTTTTGCCTCTGGGATTTCTTCAAACTGTTTAATTGGTTCAAGACAGGACGACATCCTTCTTGGTCACACTAGAATAAGTGCAGAATTTAAATCGGTCTTTTTGAGAAAATTGCTTCAGAGAGTATATTTATAGTGAGTGAAAAGTAAACACTGCAGTGCTGAGGGGCGAATTTGGCTGGATGGGCTTACCTATTGTTCAGAGACGACTTTTATTCTTAATTTATGTAAAATAACCGTGAGGAAAATATGCTGATTAAGAGACAGAAGTGCTGTGAGCTCAGTGTGTGTTTTGGAGTGTGGTTATATGTTGTCAGCCAGAGATCCAGCTTGGCAGATTAACTAGAAGTGTGTGTTTGTGTACACAACGCCCTCTGAAATGGCTTAGTATGAATTCCTGTGCAGGGAGGAGATCGCACAGTCACATAGTCAATAACACCTCACTATGAGCAAATCATTTTAGATGTATATTACTAGAACATTTTATCTCATTCTAAATTATTCATTGTTTTTTTTCTGTGACTATGATTTCTCCCAGGAGCATGTGAACCATTTAACCCATTTCCTTTCAGTTTCCAAGCTCATTGGCAGTCTCATTTTTCAAAAATCTCTGCCCTCATTTCTCAGGTTTGTTCAAGTCATTTTTAGCTTTCATATCACCTGAAGGAGGGAACATTTGTATGAATTGTTATTAGTAATCCTCCCCTTTATACAGTCTGTATTTATCCACCATCTCTTTAGTAGAACTCCATACATTTTATCACAGAATTAAAAACATAAAAAACTCAAGTGTTGCACTAATAGGTATTCAGACCCTTTTTTCTCTTTTTCCCAAAATATAATCAATGGTACCCAGCTCCCTGCAATAGAGAAAGTCCGTCTGTGTTATTTAATCAAAGCAAAAACTTTGAATCAGGCAGGTAACTCTAGAGGAGCTGCAAAGATTGACTGCTCGGGTAGAGAATCTGACCACAAGAAAAGGACCAGCTGTGAAATCTGGCCTTTCTTGAAGGGTTTGCAACTGGCCATGTAGGAACAGTCGGTGAGGGGAAGAAGAGCCTCTGGTCAGATGAAAAGGATGTTAAACCACTTGGAAAATTGGGTATATGTAGATAAAAAAACGGCTGCAGATCAACCTAAAAGATAAATCCAAACAGTTAGACATGCCATTAAAACAGAACAAATTCACACAATACTGTTCAGACTTTTATTTGTAAAAGATTGTAGAACATTCCTCTAACTTTCCATTTGATCGTGCTAAACAATTGATGATGGTAGAGATCCAGTTTTACTTAACTTAGAAAGTTTTTACTAAAATTTTACTAATTTTTTCTAATGTTTTTACAGATGAGACGGACACCTCAATTCTCTCCGATGCCAAATGGACGCAGATCCTGGCCCCGCCTGCCCACATGCTTTCTCTGAACCCCGCTCTGGCCCACGCAGACATCAGCCCCAGAGAGAGCCCCCTTCCCTTCAAAGCACTTCCTGATTCATCCAGCGCCTCTTCAGGATCCGACACCAAGAGACAGTCGGGGTCTGAGCCTCCTTCCTGGGTAGAGGAGAGACCGGCGGACGTCCACAGCCCGCCTCTCCCTCAGCCTAACATCGGGAAGCTGGTGGGCGCAGACGACGTCTCGCCTCCACCTGTGACGCCATGCGTTGTTGTGGAAAACGGCTGCCCAGGCAGCCCGCAGCTGGATGGCAAAGATACCAGTTGTTCTGAGGTCCAGCTTGGTAACAAGGTGGAACCTGGAGAGAGACCTTCCTCTGTTGGAGGAGGAGGCTCTCACTTTACATTTGAGATGGGTTTAGCACAGCAACAGACCCTGTCTGGGAATACTCATTCAGATGTGTGCACTGTAAATGAAAATGGAAAAGAGCTGAAGGAAGAGAACAATTCAGCTGTTTTAGAGGACTTGGAACAGGAACAACGAAGTTTAAAATCAGAGGAGCACGGAGAAAGTGAGAATGGAGGTCAGGTTGTTCAGCCAGAAGAGGAGGACAGAGGTTTGTCTCCTCAGGGCACAGGGAGAGCAGAGGAGGATCAAAGAAAATGTACTCAGAACGATCAAATTGAGCAGCAGGGTAGATTAAGACTCCTTCCTAATGGTGTAGAGATGGAGAATGGATGCAGTTTGAAGGTTAAGGAACTGGAGAATAACGAGGACTTCTCTCCATCACCCATCCCCTCCAAAGAGGACTCTGTAACTGAAGAGAAAGAAATGGAGGAGAGCAAGCAGGAGATCAGTGACGGAGGGGCAGTGGGGTCAGGTAGCATCCAACCAAAACTTAACAACAGCAGGCTTCAGCCTGTGAGCATTCCCTATGGAGGGGCACGGCCAAAGCAGCCAGTTGCCCTCAAACTGCAGATCCCACAGCCCCTATCGGGACAGGTCCAGAACCGGTTGCTTCCCTCTGCAGACACCAAGAACAAGAACATGGAGAACAACTGTCGAAAAGGCACTCCGACCGAACCTTCGCCCACTGTCCAGATTGCAGTCAGCGTTAACGGAACCGGAGGAACCCACTCTCTGTCGCCGACAGCCTCAGAGAGCCCCGACAACGACCTACAGGCTGGACAGCAGGGGGGGCTCTGCAGGCAGGCTGCCAGCTCACTGGGAGAGGTGGCTCCTGTGTGGGTGCCCGACTCCCAGGCCCCTGTCTGCATGAAATGCGACGTCAAGTTCACCTTCACCAAGAGGAGGCACCACTGCAGGGCCTGCGGGAAGGTCAGCACTGCTTTAATGAGGGCGGCGTAACTCGGTTAGAGGCGGTGATTATAGCAGAGAGCCTGATGTGCCAGAGATTAAAAGAAAGAAAAAAATCCACTTTCATGATAGTCTTCTTTCTTTTTGTTTCTATTAGCTCTGCTGCACCTCCTAAAATCCACACTGAAGAAGATGACTAATTGCTTAAAATAATAGTTTTACAGCCTATAGCCTAATGGAATCTGATCTATAGAAACAAATAGGAGAATAGTGACATAAAAGATAAAAACTAAATTTAAATTAATAGTTTCTATTGGCTAAAGGAGATGAATGGGATTATAAGGCTTAGATAAATACAGTCTGTCAGTCGTTATTTGTTTGCAGATGCACTCTGTCTGCATCAGGGCTACCCACAAGCCTGTGGCAGGGTGTCTGCTCGGCACGCCGCTGTAAATGCAGGATGCGGTCGCTGACACCGCACTGGATAGCCGGGCGGAGTGCTACTTAATTTCCCATGGTGGTAAACAAACACTCCGGCTCTGCTTGTGCTAGGAGGAGCTGGTGCTGCAGTAATAGTAATACTCGCAGTGGTAGCTATAAACAATAGAGGCAGCGCAATTATCTGAGAATGCAGAGTGTGTGTGTTGGGGTAGGAAGGTCAGAGGTCTCTTGTTTCATCTCAGTGGATTGGATTTATTATGTTAACATGCATCACCTCTGCTGTAGCAGGGAAATAATTCCTGTTTCTTTTTAACTATCTGATCTTTTATCTATCATCTTTTTTTCTTCTAAGGTGTTCTGTGCAGCGTGTTGCAGCCTGAAGTGTAAGCTGGTCTACATGGACAGGAAGGAGGCCCGTGTTTGTGTCACCTGTCATTCTGCCCTGACCAGTGGTGAGCACCGTTTGGTAGAAGGCTCATCCATTGACTTTAGCACAGTGTTGTGCAAAAGTGCACATCCCCGTAGATATTTTTTTAGAAAGCGTTTCCTAGTTTTACTCATTTCATTTTCAACGTTGTCCAACATGATCTGATGCCTAATTCTGATAAGAAAGGAAACCCACAATTATGCTGGAATCCAAAGCAGCGCATTATAGTTCCGGCTGGATATTTTTTACCATTATCCAGCATGATTCTGCCATCACTGTGTGTCACTGTTGACTTTATTTCATGTGTGTTGTGTAAATATTAATGTCAGACTGTTTGGTTTCATTAAAAAAAAAAAGTTCCCCATAACAGTTTGAAAAAAAATCCATTGTTTGAACTAAATTATATCTAAAGTTAAAAACTAATTATATCTAAAATAAATGAATATTTCTTTACACAGTAAAGGAAGGAGAAACAAATTTTGGTTCTCTTAAAATGGAACCATTAGGAATATGTTAAATACTTAAAAGATATACTGCTGATTGCTTTTCATAGGTTTGCCTAAAGAGTCCATCAGGAGGCTGCAGCTGATCCAAAATGCTGCTTCCTTCCAGACTAGTTAGGTCTTGTAGTTCAAGCCTTCTCTGTCCACCCAGAACTAGAACCAAAAATTGAGAAGCAGTATTTAGTTCCTATGCTACACTGATCTGCAACAAACTTCCAGAAGACTGTAAAAGTTCTTTGAAGTCAATTTAGTTTGTTTAGAATTGCCATTGTCTGTTTAAGACAGTTGAAGGTCATAAAATGTTAACTGAAGTATTATTAGTTTAAGTTTGTGTTCCAAATGTTTTATTTGCTTTTCTAGCTACTTTTATTCCCTTTCGTTAACTAATTGTTTGTTCTGTTGCTCAGTTCAATCAGCAGAGACAATAGCAACTGCGGTCAATCAGAGTCCAAACCCAAATAACCCGGCGGAGTACTGCTCCACCATCCCCCCCCTACAGCAGGCTCAAGCATCAGGGGCGCTCAGCTCACCTCCTCCCACAGTCATGGTCCCTGTGGGGGTCCTGAAGCAGCCTGGCAACGAGGGTACGTTCTGCACTGCCTGTTGTCAGGATTTTTCTCTCCCAGTCAGATTCTCGCTAGGAGCTATTTATTTACTGTTGGGTATCTGCCGTTTTAGGCTCCCTTTCGCGGGACCAGAGGAGGGTGTGGTTCGCTGACGGGGTTCTTCCTAACGGAGACGCAGCAGACTCCTCTAAGCCTTCCTCCTCCAGTTCAGCGTCCTCTCAGCCACGGGCAGCATGCTCAAATAAATCCTCCACATCCGAGTCCTCAGAGGTGGGTTTGGTATGAAAAGCATGTGGCCCCGGCTAATGCTATTAGTTTAACTCAAATGGTACCATTTGGTCCTGTGTGGGTGGATGAAGGAGTCACAGGGAGCGCTTTCTTAAGGAATCCAGCTAACTGGATGTATTATGGCAAATGTGTTGGAATGAGGCACTGCCTTTGGGTTAAAGAGAATTACAAATGCCACTGCAGTGAGGAGCTTAATGCTGAGATGTATTGTGCTTGGCTGGGTTAATAATACGTTTATGTACATGTTAAAGTATGCCTACAGCACAGGCTATTGCTTTGTTTGGAGTGGACAGTCCCTGAATGCCAACTGTCTGGGTAATTCATGTCGGAATAGTTTCAAATGACTGTCGTGGCCTGTTTACACTCAGCTGGGTGAATCTGAGTGAGGAGTGGCATGATGGCGTCTGCTCTAGGGCAGCTTTGTCAAACCTGACAAATCGGCTTCACTGACATTGCAGTAGGTAATTTAATTCGGGTGAACTTCTGGCAAACTGACCATGTAAAGAAAGCAGATGACTGCAGATACTGAAGAAAACCATTTGGATTTTATTTTTCTTCCACACTGATCTCAACTTGTAGAAATCTTTATGATTAAACTTGTGAACACCTGCTGCTGTTTATATGTAGTATCTGATTGGTTTATGCCTTTAGGGTGGCAGAGAGTTCTGACAAGTTTCTTTGATTTCTGCTCTGGTGTGTCAACAAAATGTTCTCATTTTCTTCATTTGCTGTTTCCTCGATGATTTTATGTTCAGTCACTTAGAATGATAGATAATCAGAAACCAGAATGTCACCTCAAAAGAACCTGGATAAACAGCTTCAACCATCATGCATCATTCCTTTCTTCAGTGTCTGCACTTCTTTATCGGATTTAAATGGTTTTCAAAACCAACCGTTTTTGCAAAGAGAGACATTGTCAAATATGCACTTTAAAAAATTTTTGGAGTGAAAGGATGAACAGTAATAAAGCTAGTGAAAATCTCCATAATGTTATGAGCTTCTAATAGTGTGATAACCGTGGATAAAGTAACTACAGCTTCACTAATTATCTGATTTCCTTTATTAAGTGGACCACAATCATTCCTTTGGCTCATGAAATATCGTAACACATTTATTGCAGCTACTTGAAACTTTCATGGATGTAGATTAAGATGAGCCTGAAGCCAGAGGTGTCAAAAGTATTTATGTTTATTACTCAAGTGGAAGTAGAAATCCTATGTTTAAAAACACTGTTTAGAAGTTAGGGTATCAACTTAAGCTTTTTACTCAAGTAAAAGTGTAAACGTACAGTTTTAAAACTACTTAAAGTAGAAATGTAATGCAGGAAAAAATGTTACGGACAGATACTGTTTAAATGATATAGTGGTTAATGCACTAGCCCATTAAAGGAACATTTTTCTACAATTCTGAATAATAGTTTCATTATATTTAAGTTTCTTTCTTTTATAACTAATGGTAACGGTGTCAAATTTAACGTTGCATAATCTTGAAAAATTCTTTATTTTGGTATCTGTTTAACAACAAGTAGGGGCAGCACTGTATCCAACCACATAGAAAGTAATTGTCTGGATGAAACAGATTATTTGTGATGTTTTTTCTTTTTGTTTTTTTTTAAATACCAACAGGTCATAATGAAAATTAGCTTAAATGAAACAAAACTAACAAGTCTATTTTTGAAATGCAAGGAGCAGAAAGTAGAGGTATTGTAAAAAAAAATGTAAGAAGAAAAAAGTTGTGTAAAAAAATAATTACTCCAGTAAAATATAGATGGCCTTAATTTCTACTGAAGTAAGGTAACAAAGTATTTGTACTTTATTACTTGACACCTCTGCCTAAAGTAATAGTCATAGTGATAAGATTAATACCCTTCATAGAGCATGGCTCTCATGGTATAACAAGCTGTTGACATCACAGAAACCTGCCATTTCTAGCTGCGTGTAGGTACAGAAAGTATTATAAGCTCTGCTTCTATGTGTAGATGCTGAAGCAGTGAATTGATAGGGTTTTAAATTTACCAGAAAGGCAACTTCTATGTTACTTTAATCTTAGCTTTGCTCTGGTCTGGCTCTAAATACAATTTGGACCGAATTAGTAAATCAGCTTAAGTTGAACTTCTATGTGTTCTGTTCTTTAGTCAGAGCAATTAGCGCCCTCTGGGGAATCTAATGTTGCTGTTTAATTTCTCACCCCCCTCCAGGCGGCCCATCCCCCCGCCGCGCCGGTGGGCTGCCCCATCGGCAGCTCCCTCAGTCTGATCCCGGAGGACGGGCTCCCTCCCATCCTCATTTCCACCGGAGTCAAAGGAGGTACGGGAGGCCACATCACAGGTGCTTGCCTTCATCCTCACCACTCTGCTGCCTCCTCATTGCTGCTGTGTTTGTGTTTGTTTAGTGTGCTGCTCATTGCCTTTGTGTCACCGCTCATGTTTTGACCACTCATTGCCAACAGAGGGGGGGAGACGTTTTGCTCACGCGAATGCTTAGGCAAAGTTAAAATGATTTGGAAGGTGTCCTGTTGTTTAACCAGAGACAACAGGCCTCTTCTTAGAGTCACTGCTCTAACTTACAGTGGCTGTTGTCTCCATTTGTCTAACTTCATCTATTTGCTTGTCTGTTCTTATGCTTCACTCTAAATGTGCAGATTACGCAGTTGAAGAGAGACCATCAGAGATCGTACTCATGCAGCAGCTGGAGGAGGGAGGCCCAGACCCTCTGGTTTTTGTGCTCAATGCTAACCTGCTTGCAATGGTCAAGCTTGTCAACTGTAAGTTTGGACCATCTGAATCAGATTTATTCATATTTACAAGATAACTTTGATTGCTGGAACTAGGAGAGATTTAAACTTCTGTGTAGGGACATTTAGACCAAATGTATTGTCTTGATATTTTCAGGCTGAGTGGCGATTGAAGATGTTAATCTCAATGTGTAATGTTTTCTTCTTTTTTTTCTTTTAACAAACTTCTGTTGATAAACGGGAATAAATGGTTGAAAGGTAACCTCCTGGGATAATTAAAGCATAATTCTGACACAAAATATAATATCTGGATAGAAAGGATATGGTATCATCTTGTACCTCTTGTGGAAAAAATTGCTTTAGATGAAGCAGTGGGCGATATTTATATGAAAGAAACCAAACTTTGAATAACAAAATGCTTTTATTGAATTAATATTTAAGTGATGCTGATGTCATCTGTTAAAAAGCGTTAACAACATATAGTCTGCTGTACTAATATTTATAATGTCTTGATTTAAAAATATTATTTGAAATACAAGAAACTAGAATAGCACATTTAAAGCTGAAGACACAATATATAAAAAGTTGAATCTTTAGAAGTGTGATGTCTGACCTTTTGCCTAAATCACTGCTAGATATAAATTCTTCAACCGATAAAGCATTTAAGGTGTGATGTTATGATTAAATGAATAAAATAAATAGGTAAGCCAAACTAACCGCTACTGTGTTTGTGTGAGAGGAGAGAAACAATCTTTATGAAATATGTTGAAAACATTTCTATCTAAAAAAAAACTTTAGGGTTAGATCACTCTCTGGAAGTGGTAATAAGAGCCACCCCTGGAAGAAAGGAGTGCTATAGAAAATCAAAATGTTTATTTATCTTATATGTTCCATCATACTACTCCAACATTTTAATCATTAAATGAGACAGTCCAGAAATGAAAGGATTCGCTCTGCTGGAATATAGAATTGCACAGTTCATAATTTTCAGACACTATCATTAGTCAATAGTTGTTCATGCAAACCATATAACTAAAAGAAAAAGGTGAGAGCTACTTATAACCAGCGTACCTCTGCTTCACAAAATGGCCAAAGTGGCTGATGAAGTCCGATTTAAAAAAATAAAAATAAAAAATTTGTTATGGATTCCTTTTGCTTGTGTGCACTATTCAGACAGCCCTATATCTAGATAGATATCTATCTAGATATAGTTATCTATTTAGATAAATCTATATCCTAACGTAGGTAATCTAAACAAGAACTGAACATTAAATGCACCAAAATAGACAACAAAAATAGCTCCTTTACCCTTAGTGGACTCACCCATTGTATAATGCAACTAGTGACGATATCTGGATGCCCCAAAATTAAAAGTCAAGCCAGTTTTAACTGTTGAAAAATCTATATAATTTTTTTTTTCTGTACGACTCGTTAATTATCAGTGGGTTTTATTGCATTATCTTCGTATGCTCCTTGGAGCTCCTCTGGGCTTCACAGTTGAACAGAGGAGGGCAGTGTAAAATGGCCGTCTAATACAGTCCATGCCTTCTTGGTATTAATCCAATTCTATTCAGTTTATTTACATAGTGCCAATTCACCATTATACATAATCATTATGCATAATGTTTGCATTTTTTAAACTGAACTATTCAAAGGTATTCCTAAACCTTTTGCCAACACATATCATGTTAAAGTGACTCTTTACTTTATTAGCAGATTCTGGGTGAAGTTGCTGTGTCCTGACCGTCTTCCTTTTCTCTTTACCTTTCAGATGTAAACAGGAAATGCTGGTATGTGACGACTAAAGGCATGCACGCCGTCGGCCAAGCTGAGGTGGTCATTCTGCTCCAGTGTCTACCGGACGAGAAGACCATCCCTAAAGACGTCTTCACCCACTTCGTGCAGCTCTACCAAGAGGCTCTAAGTGGTGAGAGCTTCATCCGTTGGTCCATCTTAGAGGAAAGCAGCTCTTCTGTAGGTCTGAATAACAGAACAGCTGTCTGTATATTTGCTTTGATTCACTTGGACTACAAGTGCTTACAGTTGAGGCTGGAATCTGTCTGTAGGAAAAAGTAAACAAAGCAAAATTCCAGCATTAGTGTCCTGGTTGTTCTTGTTTCTGTTTTTGTTTTTTTTTACCTCCATATGCTGCAGAGCCAAATCAGCACATATGAGCTGACTTTGATGGCTCCCTCCCCCAGGCTGCTTCCTCTTTCATATTTGCATCAGAGCTGTGTCAGCTGGTGGAGTGGAGTCATATTGTGAGTGTTGATCCTGATTAAGCCTCCGTCAGTCAGGCCTTGGGAGAAAACGCTGTTTTAAAGGGTTTCAAACCTCTGAGCTTTTGTTTGTCGTTCTCTAGCTGAAACCGTCATCTCCTAGCGTGGATCATAACAAACATTAATCCTTTTTCTTTCATGTCCGTGTCATTGAGAACCCCAAACGTGCGTCAGGGTCCTCTCTTCAGCTTCCTACTACATCTCTAACCGCTCCCCTTCTCTCTTCTGTCCGTAAGGCAACGTGCTGAGCCATCTGAGTCACTCGTTCTTCACGCAGAGCTTCCTGGGCAGCAGGGAGCACGGCGGCTTCCTTTACATCAGCCCCTCCTTCCAGTCGCTGCAGGATCTGCTGCTGCCCAATCCACCCTACCTCTTCGGTATCCTCATCCAGAAGTGGGAGACGCCCTGGGCCAAAGTCTTCCCCATCCGCCTCATGCTGCGGCTGGGAGCAGAGTACCGATGTGAGCTGATACAGAGATGATACTGTGATGTTTCTGTGTTTGGAGATCTTTACTTTGGGGAAAACTGGTTACTCAACCTTTTTAACATAATTCAAAAATGGGAGGTGTGACCTAAACTGTTGACAAACTTTCTGTTTTATAAGAGGTGGATCTTTTAGTCATCTCAATTTGTGGGAAGCAGAATTAGAGCTGCTCTGATTCAAAGAAAAAAAGAAAGTGAAGTAGATGTAATGTGTTAGATGATGGCCTGTCCTGGTGATTAGCTTTAAGTATCTGGGTAACCGGTTTAAACATGGGAGGTGTTGCATCCTTATTTGTTTTTGCAGCGTCTCATGAATCTACAAAGTGAGCAGTTTTATCAGAGAGGTTCTTCTTTTACTCAGAATCCTCTTTCCATGCTCAGACCTGCCAGCTCTGAGCTCCGCCTTGCTTCACTTAAGCCTTTATCCTGAATCCTGTGAGTTGAGCTGTAATACGTAAAAAAAAAAGACAAATTTTCCACAAAACTGCTGGAATCACCATAAAATTAATCCACCAAACAAACACTGCTGTTAATGCTGTCGCCTCTTTATGGCCTAAACCCCAGAAGATGGGCAGGCTGGAGACTTCCAGCTGAACTGTAGACTGACGGCGTTCAGTGTGATGTTTTTCCAGCTGCTGGATGAGATGAAGCTGCAAATAGTAGGTTAAGAAGCTTAAGAGGCAGCAGGAGTCTTCATTTGAAAGTTAGGAGCCTTCTGTCTGATAAATTATTAGGTCAGCGGCTTCTTTTTTGCCTTTGATTTAAAGAAAGTGATGAAATAATCTGTTTGCCGGTTAAATAGGCAAAGATGATGTGCACCGTGTTTTTGACAAACATTATTTGCTCTTGCAGTTTATCCATGTCCACTGTTCAGCGTTCGCTTCCGGAAACCTCTCTTTGGAGAGACCGGGCACACCATCATGAATCTGCTTGCAGTGAGTTCTTTCTCCTGTTCTTTATCTCTTATTTAAAAAAACCAAACAAAAGCGTTTCGAAACGTTAATTAGAATTAAACTGAGAGAGAACCTTAAAGATAGCCTACGTGTTCACACTAAGGATCCTGTCACACCTTGCCGATTTACACAGCATATGCCCGACGTCCCAGAATCTCTTAAAACGCTGACACATGCTAAACTTTCTACGTATTATTTTGTATTTCAGACAAGTCCAGAACTTGCGTCCAATAACAGCCTAACTTATGCATAACGCACGGCAGTGTAATGCCCATGGACTGATGCTTGGGCATCAGTTCATGGGGAATACAAAGCACCAGTTAAAGTTGCTCCCTTCAGGGGCATCACTGCTCTGGATACGCTCTCAGGAGCGCATCAATGGCATACGCTGGCATTCGTCGAGAAATTTTGAGCATACTATGCACTCGCCGTATGTCTACATGTGGCAGCGTGCTCATAACTTATACAAAACCTACCCATAATTTATCCAACACTTGCTACCGTTTTTGTCTGATTTTTCATACGTCAGGCCTACGCTGGTCTAAGTCGTCAAGGTGTGACAGTGGCGTTAGCTAGTCAAATTAAATAATCTGTCCGTTTGTTTTTGCAGGACTTCCGTAACTACCAGTACACTCTGCCAGTGGTTAAAGGTCTGGTTGTGGACATGGAGGTGAGGAAGACGAGCATCAAGATCCCCAGCAACCGCTACAACGAGGTGAGGCTCTCCAAAGGTTTGCTCTCCAGGAACCAGGGTACTTATCTGGGGAGAGGAGAACATTTTGGACTGCTTCTTGTCTTATTGGGACCCTGATGCTTTGCTTTCATTTATAGATAAATTCAAGCCCATTCGGTATGGCTCAGAGAAACAAACTGTTATAGTGGCCAAGTCTGGACATGAGCCTAGTAGAATCATTAACTGTGTTTCCATTAACCATCAAATTGCTCAAAATGCAATTTTAAAAATAAATCAGCAAAGTGGAAACACTATTAAATTTTTCAATAAAGTTTTAGGTTTTTTTTGTTTCAGTTTTTCGGTTGTATCGAAATTCTTTATATTTCGCAAAACTGTATTGGCCTTTTTAATCAACACAAGAGTGATCTGCAGCTGGAAAAAGCTGAAGTTGTTTGATAAAGATGGCACAACATATTTAGATTCATAAGGAGATTTTTTGACATTTAGCTTGTGACATTGAGCACTAGAGCCATGGCTAAAATATGCCTAAAACATGTGTTTAAATTGTCTGTTGCCATGTTGTTTTAAGAGTTATCACATAAGGAAATGTTTGCATTTTCAAAATCGGGTGAAATATCATCAATTTTGCACACAAATGCAGCTACTGTTGCATTTTGATGCAGTTTATTTTTTCATATAGGGCGTGGATGTTTTGGCAGCCTTTTACTGCAGTTTTTTTTTTTTTTTTTTTACTATAGTCTTCTTTTTCTGACACATCACCAGAAAAGTTGAATATTAAAACATCAGTGAAGGGGCTGATCCATTTTTTAAGGCTTTTTTTTTTATGCCGCTGTCTTTTAGGCACCCATTATTTAAATACATGTTGTTTTTTTTTTGTTGTTTTTTTTATCGACTTGGTAACAGCTCTGCTAGTTTCCTCCCAGAGTGGAACAGATTCACACTGAACTTCTTTGCACCAATACATCCAGCTACTTTTTATGCTACAACATAATGGAAAATGTTTGCTCAGTTGGATATAATAATATAAAAGAGATTATTTCTCTCATCTCTAGTCCTCCACGAATTTATGCTTGAGAGCAAAAATGATGATGCCCATGTTCCTTTTCTACACAAGCGGTTGGTTACTACATCATTCCAGTTTATTTTCAGACGGCAGGAAAAAAAAAATGACCCAGTTTTTATAGTTGACTAGACTCTGTGATTCATTTTTAATAAGATGTTGCAGCATGAAGCAAAGCGGAGGAACAGAAGGTCTCTGCTCACAGTCAGACATGTTACCTCAGTTACAAAACGAGCTGGCATCTTTTACTCTGAGGATAAAGGGTGCCTTATTAACACAGCAGCGGGCTCCTCTGTAAAGCTTCGCTAGTAGGAGAGGGGGGGTAAGAAAAAAGAGGAGAGAAAAACATTACCATACTTTCTTCTATATCCCATCATTTGGCTTTTCTAAAACTGTCTGACGGACCACCTGAAGCATTTTCCCATTTGAAGTTGTCCACAAAATAACAGAGCTAGTCTGTTAGCGCTGGAATTGAACGTTTTAGCCATCAGGTTTGTTTATTGGTTGTGCCTTAGGTGATTAAATTAGCTTTATGTGTTTTTTAATGGTCTTTTAAACATCTAGATAGAACAAAGATGATATTCAAACATTTATTTAACCAATCACAGAAAATAATTTCAAAGGCTAAATAAAAAAATAAAAAAAAGAACTTTGTAAAAAAAGGATGAGACCATTGATTACCTGTTTATTTTGTTGTTTTAATTTATATAAAACTGCCTCAAAAACATAACTCTTCAGTAACTTGTGATTATGACTTAGATCACCTCATCAAAATCCAAAGGATGAAATTTCAGAGCAAAAGCTTAGGCAGGATCGGATAAAAGTTTGTCTTGAACTATGGTGGCTTGATTTTACTTTTTTATGTGCTTTAACATTTCCTCACTTAATAACCTCTAAAGAAACCAAAAACCCATGGTCATATGCTTTGAACCTAGGGCAAGTAGTATGACTTAAAATCCATATCACAGTATAAATCGAATCCTGTCATGGTAACAGTTTATATATTGCAGTATAAAACATGTTAAACATTTATGATTTGAAATGTTTGAAGATGCAAAATCCTTAAATTTAAAGTTTAAAATGATCATAAATGGCAAAGGTAATGTATTTTTAGAGCATTTATGTAGCAAAAAAAGTCATGTCAACCCCTGCTGTAAAATAGTGCAGATTCCCAGAAATAAAATAAAAGTTTTTTATATTCCTAAACAGAAACATTTCACAATACACAAAGTTCACAGTTCAATAATTTAAAAAAAGCATGGATTTTATAATCTGTACTTAAGTAAGATCTTTTATAAGACAGTCACTAAAAAACAGTGAAAATGGTCTATATTCCAAAATGGTGCATTATTTTTCTCACATCTTTAGGACATTTGTGTTTTGTAAAATACTTCCAGCTGGGAGGTTATATTATATGGATCCAAAGTTTTAATTATATTTTTAAAGTCGTAAGGAAATGGCTACACCAACTGTTGCACTTATGAATTCTCCCGAGTGGTGCGCAATTTTACACCAGTCAATAAAGTGTGATTGGTCAATTATCAAGGGGGCGGGATTATTGTGGTGGAAGGTTTGCAAACAAGGTTGGTTGTGGCCGGTGTCTCGGAAGCATCTTGCTAACCAGTTAGCAACTTAGTGCTAGTAGGTTCCCAATGGGAAATTCCATTGGGACCAAGTAGCACTAAATTGCTAACCAGTTAGCAACTTAGTGCTAGTAGGTTCCCAATGGGAAATTACATTGGGACCAAGTAGCACTAAATTGGTGACTTAGTAACAACACTGTCAAGGAACGCTACGGACAGAGGAAACATGCAGGAGAGTTTTGTGTCGGAGGTTGTCGATAAGTCTCCTCCGTCATACATTTTTTTAGCCTGACGTAGTCCGACTCAATTCTAGTCAGAATATGAGTCTGATACTGCTCCATAGAGCTGTGATTATGGGGCGTGTTTTGAANGACCAAGTAGCACTAAATTGGTGACTTAGTAACAACACTGTCAAGGAACGCTACGGACAGAGGAAACATGCAGGAGAGTTTTGTGTCGGAGGTTGGCGATAAGTCTCCTCCGTCATACATTTTTTACTTAGAGGAGGAAAGTGGGGACAAGGTTGTTGTGGAAGAGGACGCCAGGGCGGCAGAAGCTTGGTTTGGTGTAGAAGGTTTACAGGGCTGGGTATTTTCACCAAAGTCCTGAATCGATTTGATTTTGATTCATACAGTTCTAAATCGATAATTTCGATTCGATCTGTTTTTACAATAATAAAAGTGGTTCAACTGTGTTTCAAAATACTCATGTAATTTTTTCCTGTCACATTAAACACAAAGTGCAAACTCGTAAATGAAACAGTTTAAACTTGAGAAGTGAACAAAACTGTCTCAAAAGTGTAAACTTGTTTGTGAAAAGTGAAAAAGTGAAGCCTCACTCGAGCAAGCAGACGTGACATAGCAGACATGCATGAGCTGCATTATCTCCGCTGCACAAACCATATTTGCAGTGTTGTCTGTAACAACTACAGGGTGTTTGCTGTTCAGGCCAAATTTGTTAATGCCTTCAGTCAACCTATTGGCTATATTTGCAGCTGTCTGGCTTGAAGTAATCTTGATGGTCTGTAGGACGAAATGAGAGGCGCCACTCGTTATCAATGTAGTTGGAAATCACCTTAATGTCACATATCCAGCACATTATCTGTGGGGGAAAATGGCAACAAAATTGTATATCTTGTTAAACAGAAAAATCCATCAATTTAATTGGTAATCGCCCTGCTCAACAACACTAAACCACGTTTTTTTTTTTTTTCCATAAAGGAAACTATCCTATGTAGAGAATTAGCCAGGTTGCAGTGCTGAACTAGATCACTTTATTCTCCATACGTGTTACCCACATAGAGGCATCACTTTAAAACAAATCACCACTAGAAAGCTCTCATGGTGTGACATCATCACAATCTCTGACCTCCTGATGGGAGTCAAAGCAAACGCAGTAGTGCTTTTTAAAATCACCAACCTGCTTTGCAAAATATTTAAAGCCCAGTTATAATAGACGTTTCATGCTTTCAATAGTTACTGGTGTTATGGCTATAAAAATAAATGAATGGTCCTTCTGTGTTATCAGAGTAAATCGATAGGTTGAAAAACTTAAAATTGGTGATACATGGTTTGTATAAAGTAGTTTGTATCTTAGTTGGTCACAGTCTACCTTGATAAATCAAAACACAGTGTTGGTGATAATCTATATGTTAGAAAGTATTTTTCTCCCTAAAAGCTGTTTGTGTTTGGAGCTTTATTTCCCCCCCCCCAGTTTGTCAGAATAAAAACTTCAGCTTTTCAATCTTCTTGGGCATCCAAACTTTAAGTGATGCTGTGGTATATCCCTGCAGCAGAGCGTGGAGAAGGTATGCAGCCCAATACGTTTGTCTGCATGGCGTGAGTGAATGTCAGAGCAGGAAAAGGAGACGAGCTGAGAGAGTGGTGCCGGCTGTGTAGCTTGGCTGCTGAACGCGCTGACAGATGGGAAGGCGGCAATGCGAAGAGCCAACCGTCACTCCATAGCTTGCGGGCGAGCGTTTAACACAGCAAGTGGTTAAAGCGCTCCAGATTTTCAGTTTTATTTCTAAATGGCACAGAGTCGAATTTAGGAGAGACAGAAGCAGGATTGTTCCAAGCTACTGATATCCAGCGCCGTCTGAAACCTTTTCTGCAATCTGTATTCAATGTGCCTTCCCATTCAAACAGGCATGTGCTCCCTGGAGCCCACTGCAATTAGGCTTAACCAGAAAGCCACTTTGAAGCCCTTTCTTTTTTTTTTTTTCCATAGCATACGCACACAAAAAGCTGCTCAATTAGTCACACTGTAAATGATGTGTCCTTGCAGCTGATGAAGGCCATGAATAAGTCCAACGAGCATGTGCTGGCCATGGGGGCGTGCTTCAACGACCGGGCCGACTCCCATTTGGTGTGCGTCCAGAACGATGATGGGAACTACCAGACGCAGGCCATCAGCATCCATCACCAGCCACGGAAAGGTGCAGACAGGAACACAGCCGGTCATACGATCGTGATCCTTAAGCTTTCCTCTCTGTATGTTTTTGATGTCCTTGTTTAGAAAAGCTCAACGTCAACATAGAAGGAAAAAAAAAATCCTTTTACTTACTGCTGTTTTTTTTTTTCCCTTTAGCTGTTTGACAACAAGTAACACCTCAATACTTGTCTTTTGAGTCTAAACCTTTTTCTCTTCTTCTTTCCCTCTCCTCAGTTACTGGAGCCTGCTTCTTTGTTTTCAGCGGCGCTTTAAAAGCTTCGTCAGGCTTCTTGGCCAAGACCAGCATTGTTGAAGGTGAGAAATGTGGATAGGAAAAAACATTATTAGCTGAAAGGAAGATGTCAAACAATCCACACAGGCTGGTGCATTGAGACACCTCTCTAACTGTTGTCCTGATGGAGTTATAAAATTAGTCTTGTTTAAATGTCATGCATATTCTTATAGCTTAGTTTATTTAAGAGGGATCCATTTGTAGGAAATACAGCCACATCATATTCCAGTGTTTAGCAGTAATCCCAACCACAACTTTCAGACGCTTCCTTTTTGTGTGGTTTTCTTCTTTTGTTTTATTTTTTTTATTGATTGGGAGTCATTAAAAAAGCACATATGTACAGAAACTGATAGAGAGGAAAGAAAAACTAGTCATTTATAAAGATCAGAGAGTGGTGTCGTCTCTAAGATGTATTCTACATACCATCATTAGATTGTCCTCATCGGTCTGTTGTCCTCTAAAGCAGGGGTCTGCAACCTGATGCTCAGGAGCTGCAAGTGGCTTTTGGAGCCTCTAATTTTGCTCTTAATGGTGGCAGGAAATTATAAACAATTTTTATGTAGCTTAGTAAAAAATCCTTTTCTTAGAAGCTTTACCAGGTTGTTTTAATAATGAATCTATAGAGAAACTAAGTTTTTCTTAAAAAATCTTAAAAATGTTATTTTTATTTTATTTATTTTATGACTTTAACATGGTTTTATGATCAGACTGACACCTCAGTAGTTCAGCAAGGATGCAGCTATAATCTGTCGCCTATTTCCCTGAATTGACTTCAGGTTGGACTTTCCCTTGCTGTACAACAGAAGTGACTCTAAGCGCATCCGTGTTAAATGGTTCCGACCTAGCAAACAAGAGTGTTATGTTCAAGATGCATTTTGTGGATACTCAGAAGTAGTAGGATATGTTATGAATTACAACTTCCTTGTTCAGGAATATAACTCCCATATTGGAGAGCATCAGAGTCTGGACCCTCCCCTGCTTTTTCTAATCTTTCGTCTCTTCATTCTAGTTGATAGTATATTCATCTTCTTCTGGTAAAATATCACAGCAGAAGAGACCGGCATCCAGCTCAACTGAAACACTTTCAAGTATGAGCGCAAGCAATGTGAACGAGCAGAAGAGTGCTGCAGTTCTGTGTTTGGCAACACGTGGGAGTATCATTAGAAAACTCCATAATGCCAATTTAAAGAAGAAAAAATGTTTTTAGATCCATATATATTGTTATTTAAAAGGAAACCCTGACTGACAGAAATTTTCTTTTTTTAAAATAGAGGTACCATTAAACATTCTGACAAATAAAAAAAACATTAAAAAATGTAGTATAATCTAAATTAGATCAGTTATTTGTGTAATTTATGATACATTACACATTTCTGTACAGTTTATGATCGATTGATTGTTTCTGCATGTATCTGATAATCAGTTGCTTTCAGAACAAAAACATCCCACTGATGATATAGAGGTCTCTCTCAAAAACCCAAATGCGATCAACTTGGTGTTATGGGTACAGCTGAATAGTTTGTTTCTTTAATAAAACGGTAACAGATTTCCTACAGCAGATATTCAACAGAAATATATCAGTTTGTTTGAAGGACATGTAACATTGGCAGCTTAAAAGGACTTTAATGTAGCTGGATCAAGGTAAAGTGGCTCTTTATTTTGGAAAGGTTGCAGACCCCTGATCTAAAGGCTGGTTCACAAGGGAAACAAACAAACAAGAAAATGCTGTTCTAGCTGTTAAGGTGTTAAAAATGAAGCCTAAATTATGGTTTATATATTTCACATGAATTTTGCTGCTAATATATATTTTTTCTCTTCATTTGGTTTCATCCATCAAATAAACTCCCAGAGGAAAGATAAACCACACATTTTGTTTAATCCTGAGCTGTAAAAGCATTGCTTCTTCGGAGCATCCAGACGGTTTCTTTACACATTAAGTATAAAAGATGCTTTGTTTCTGTTTTGCTTAAGATGGTGTGATGATTCAGATCACAGCAGAGACCATGGATTCTTTACGGCAAGCCCTGAGGGACATGAAAGACTTCACCATCACCTGTGGCAAAGCTGACCAGGAGGAGAACCCGGAGGTGGTCCACATCCAGTGGACAGAAGACGACCATAACTTCAACAAGGGGTGAGACAGAGACACCAGAAGGGTGAGGGTGGGAGGAAAGGCATTTTAGTCACAGGCTGTCAAGTCATTCTCTAAGAAAGTCTGAGCACAGAGGAGCAATGCGCTTTGACAATCACATCCAAACAAAGTAGATCTTTTTTCTAGAGCTCAAATTTAACCTGCAAACAAATGGAAACATGCTGCATTTTGTGCAAATGACGTCTTCAAACAGCTGCAACGTCAACCAGTCTGTTAAATTCGTGTCTTGTTCAATGGCACTCTGGAGATCAATTGTCTCCCACATCTGATTCATTTAATTAGCTGAATCCCACCTTCTTCTTCTCCTTCCTGTAGATCAGTCCTTTGCTTTATGCTGCATTTGTAAAATAAACTCCAATATGATTTTTATTTTTCCCTCTCAGGGTCATCAGCCCGATCGATGGGAGATCTATGGAGTCCATCACCAGTGTGAAAATCTTCCACGGCTCAGAATTCAAAGCTAACGGCAAAGTCATCCGCTGGACCGAGGTGCAGCCCAGCGCACACTCACAGAATACTGCAAATTAAGCAAAATCAGGCCAGCAGGCAGATCTCCTAGGACCAAATGTTCAGCCGATTTAACCTTCATCCCTAGGGGCTGGAGGCTATAAATGAAGGCTAAACTGAACTCGGATCTTACACATCAGCAGGGAGCATGCATGCTGTAGAGGAAAAAAATGGAATCAAACATCTGGCTTGTTACAGAACAAACGAGTTAAAGGATAATCTAATTATATAGACAACACAATGGAGACATTAAACCTGCAGCAACGTTCTGTCTCTGCTTGCTCGTCTGATTGAGAGGAAAAAATAAAGGCCTTCGACTCTGTATCTTGGAGCTGCAAATGGTTTCTACTTGGTGATAAAAAGTGTTTTCTATCCACTCAGGTGTTCTTCCTTCAGAGCGAAGACCAACCCAACGGGCTGAGTGATCCAGCCGACCACAGCCGGCTGGCGGAGAATGTGGCGCGAGCTTTCTGCATGGCTCTGTGTCCACACCTGAAGCTGCTGAAGGAGGACGGCATGGCCAAGCTAGGGCTGAGGGTCACTCTGGACTCTGACCAGGTAGGAAGATCACGTCCATAGATTGAGAGGGGGGGTGCATCTTTTTTCTTTTTTTAAGTGCATAGTCACATTATATGTATCTACAAGAAGACCAAAACCCATTTGATGCTGATAAAACAAGGTGATACACACCAAGCATCCACCCTGGCATTCTTTTGATTGACCAGTTTGATCCTAAATAGAATTCCAGCACCAGGCACAATGAGCAGACATAAACAGATTTGGCGCCATCTGCTGGCAGCACTGCTGAACTACCAGAAAACCAGATAGTGACTATGAAGAACTAAACCGTTCTGCAACGCCTCATTATAAAGCGACAGCTTGGCGTGGTCAGACACCAATCAATATTTAATAAATAAACCTATCCACAGCCACTGATCAATCACTCGACTTCTAATATCTTTTGTAGACAAGCGACAAAGAATAGCTTTGCTATTTGCTAGTATGAGTATTAATTAGGACATTTGCATCTCTGGATTTTAGCCTTTCCTTTATTATTTCCACACTTCACTGGCAGCTGTTAAAAGCTCAACCACACTAAGCTACTTGCAAGTTTAGTCTTTGTGCACATGCACAAGTATTGTACAACCACTGTTATTTTAAATATACAAAAGGGCTATAATGACTAACAACCTGAGCAGAAGCTAAGCACATAAGGCCTTGGGGATGTCTGTATTAGCTAAAGTGTTTCTAATTTCTAATTACTCAGTCTAACATCAGCAATACAACATCTCTTTAAACGATCATCTCTTCTAAGCTAGAGTATTAGTTACTATTTATTAATAAAACTGCTCCTTCCTTTATCTCCAAAGATAGAACAATTTATTTGTTCCACTTAAAGTGCATTGAGGTCTAAATGTAAATATTTTTTTTTTTACTACTGAGGCAAAACCTCACACATAAAAATGTATTCAATTCCATCTTTTCACTAGAGTTCATTTGTCTCACTTTAATCCTTTTTTTATTATTATTTACAAAAACTAATCCCAGTAGCTGGAGTTACTGATGCACCTGTCTCCCATGTCATTTTACTAGAGGGTCAATGAACTACTGACTATCTACCATCACAAAATGAAATGTCTGAAGTTGACTCCACTGAAACTTCCTATATGTTGATCCTTTTGGCAACATAAAGCTGGTGAAAGTGGAAAGTGGATTTGGGGAAAAAACAAAAATAAATGTTGAGTATGTAGTCCAGAATCCTGTCCTCTAACCTAGCATGTCTCTGTACAGGTGGGTTACCTGGCAGGAAGCAACGGCCAGCCTCTCCTGCCTCAGTACCTGAGCGACCTGGACAGCGCTCTGATCCCCGTCATCCACAGTGGGGCTTGTCAGCTGAGCGAGGGCCCCGTGGTTATGGAACTGGTCTTCTACATCCTTGAGATCATCTCTTAGGAGGACTCACCACTCCCACCTAACGCAGATTTTCCTTCTTTTTTTCTTTTTTTTTTAAACACCACCTCACAGCCTGTTCCTCCTTTATCTCCCTCCGACCATTCGCGCCTCTAAAAGAACCACAAAACTGTGCCGGGCCGGTCCAGGTGGGGTAGCATTCCTCCAGTCGAACCTATGCATCCACCCGCCGTCTGTTTGCAAGCAGATGTGTTTCAGTGTCTGTAGAAGCTCTGAGCAGAGTCTGTCCTGACAGCCACACAAGGAAAAACAATCGTAGCTAATCTAAAAATGACTTTTAATTAACTGATATGGCAGTCAGCTTTAATAAACAAGCAAAGATTTTAATCTGCAGATGTTTTATGAAAAAAATCTGATAACAGCACGATATAAATAACTTTGATGTGTATGGATTAAAGTGGGAGCTGCTGAATAAATCCAGAACGTCCAATCAAACGCCACAATTAGCTGTTTTCATCAACTTAACTATTGCAAATAAATATCCATATTTCTTTTCTCACATCTGATAAAAAATTTATTCATTTCCATAATTTTTTTCCTCCTCTGAGATTCGATTTTGTATTTAACCAGATCACTTTATTAGGCAGTTCTCTTCCTAAGTAACAGCTTCTTGAAAAAACAAGTTCAAGGAGATTTCATTTAGAGCATCATTTTGAACTGGAAGGAAAGTGAACCTTCTAACATTCCCTTACATGCTTCCTTGTCCTGCTTAAGAAAAGGTTGTACAGCTCCCACCATGTTTTTACATGGGGAAGGTTTTTTTTTTAGGGAGATCTGCATACTGAGCTTTACACCAGTTTAGCATGTGAAGCTAAAGGTCTAGTCTTATCCGAGCCTTTTCTACCAGTATTGCGGTTAATTAATAGTTGCCCCATCAACACATTTTTCCACCTGAGCTGTGAACATCCGCCGCTCTTCCAGTGTTACCATGCCAATTTTGCCTACTTTCTTGGATTAATGCTCTTCTTTCCAAGCCTTGCATCTTTCGAGGGTTTGGTAGGTTTGCCGTTGTGCCATAAATGTTCCAGTTTTCAGTGTTGATCTGCCACATAAAATGGCAATAAAATCATATTTGTGGTTAGAAAAAACTTTGTAAACATCTACAGTCATGCAAACTCTGATCTTTAAAAAAAAAAAAAAAAAAAAAAAACGATTTTGTTCTTTAAAACACGACAGAAAAAAAAAAAATTCCCATCAGTGCAGGTTTAGAGGCTATAAAGTGTGGGTGTTCGGACAGATCTAACCGCTCCTCAGCTTCTCGTTAGACGCCGCTCCACTGTCACTGTGTCAGCCGGAGGCCCCGGAAAGATGCACTCTGGGTAAAACCTGCCTCTGTGTAGCACGGATGCTGTTGCGTTTCCATCGCTTGGATGGAGGAACACATTGGAGGTGGAGAATGAATATGTGAGGTCAAAGGGGTTTGGGTGTTTTTTTTTTTTGCACGGTGGGGCTCAGTGCCTGCAGCAAAGAATCACCAAGGGAAGAAGATAACACATTGGCTTCACTTTCAAGCTTTAGTCGATCAATCACCAAATACTTCCGTCACTAACGATGACATAGAGTTGTATATATATTTTTTAAAGAGAGAGAACGTTGTCCCGTCCTTAGACTATCATCTGTGGCCTCCAGAGATCACAGTATCAGTGACTGTCACCAAGCCCGACTGTACATGGAGACTAATCAATTTCCTTTTCTTCAAAAGCATCTCGTCATGCAAACAACTGTTGCAAATGTAAAGATATATAAATATATACAGTATATATATATATATATAAAGAGGTATAAAAACTAATTGCAGAAGCAGTGCACTGGAGTCTAAGCCATTTTCAGGAGTTAAGATGAGCGACGGAGTGCCGCTGTGTCCTGGAAGGTTTTTTTTTTTTTTTTTTTCTCCCAGATGCAGCCTTCCTGCAGAAAACAGAACTATACTGACTGACCTGCAGCTGAATGTATTTCATGTCCCATTTTCTGCGTCCTTCCAAAGCCCTGAAAACAAAGACTCTGCAGCACTCTGGAGACATGTTTTCAGGGGCATCAACTGTTGTGCAGCTATGAGGAGATCGTCTCCGTCTGCTCCTGAAAGAGCGTCCTCCTCTAGCAACTCGGACCTACGGATGGAAATCTACGAATGTATTCTTCTTGGGTTTTTCTGTTTGTTCCCACATCCTAATCAAAAAAAAAAAACTGTACAGTTATTCTGTGTGGCATTTCCATCTTATGATTAAGGAGGGATAGCTTGAGGGCTTTTCTCAAGGTATTTGAGGGTTAAAAGGGTATGAAGTCAGACAATCTGAAAATCTGCATAAGAGCCAACATTTCAGATTAGAAACTGTTAATTTCTCCCTTTCAGGTATTTTAGGAGTTCCGGTCCTAGTAACAAGCTGAAACCAACTCTTCCTGGTTAATTTACTGTGACCGTCCCACAGATGGTGTCACCCAGTCGCTGTGCGGCGTTCATGTTTCCCCAGAATCAATTGTTTTCTGTTCTCTTTCACTGTTACGTTTTATTTGGGCATCATTAGATATGTGCAATATGTTCCCCAAAAAGGTGCAATTTGACTGAAAAAGTAGCATTTTTGTTTGTCGTTTAGTTGGGATAAAAAAAAAAGTTTGTCAAAAACTCTTAACACTGCATGCAAACTGAGACAATGCATTTGTTCAGTTGTTTACTGGTGTTTTTTTTTTTTTATATATTTTCAGACAAATTATTTTAAATGCCAAATTCTGCATTTGTTTTCCTTCCAAGTGTCATGAAATAGGTCTTTATTTGAAAAAAAAAAAAGCATATGTAAAATAAACCTTGTAGAAAAATGAAAGGAGTCCTTTTCTTTTTTATTCAGAAAATTATTTATGCAGCAGAATTAAATTACCAATAAAACTGGGGGATTTGATGTTACACTGAAGCATGATCACAATATTCATTCTGCTTGCAATATCTAGATTTCACCATACACGTCGAAGCATTTTAGAAATATCAACAAGACATTTACCTTTTGTAAACCTGTAGTTGGTTAAACACTAAAAAAACATTTTTTCTTTTTTAGGAAAGAAACTGAAATGATGTGACCAACCTGTGGGCTGAGGTGAAGCCATTTACTAACTTGGCTCAGTAGCTTTATTATGGCTTCATTTATATTCATTACTAGGGACTTTAAAGGGACAGTTCAGTTAAAATTGACGTATTTGTGTTTGTCTTGGCCATATTGATAGATTTTATTTATATCAGTCAGAAAATAGAAATCAGTTCAAACTAAATCTATTAAATATTTTTTGTCAATACAAACGGAAAAGCTTTCTCGTCTTTTACTGCAGAGGCATAAACTCACAATGAATATCTCGTATTTAAAATATTAGTTAAAAAATGACCTTCATTAAAATGACAGTTGCTGGCACCCCTTGCCTGTAATTTCTAAACCTTTTTTTTTTTTGGGACGTTTCATAAGATGCATGTTGAAATCCTGAGGAGACTTTACAATTTGGATGTTTGGCACATTACCCTGTTCAAAGAACCAGTCAGGAACCTTTGTTCATTCCCTTGCAGATATCACAGGCTTTTTTTTATTTTAATTTAAAATATCCTGAATGTTTAGAGAGCTCAAAATCTGTTCTTGGGGCTGTTAAGAAAGAAAGGGAGGCCTACATCATTATACATCATCTACCATGTTTATTAAATTGGCATGAGATGCTTTTCTATAAATTCAGCCTGTTGTACATCACACCTACCACGAGTACTTGTTCCTGGAAAAGTTATGTTTTGGTCTCAACTCGACAAATCAGGGTTTCAAAATTTGAGAGGCCTTTATGTATGTGACGCTAGGACAAATACAGTAGGTCTTTGCTAAAATACTTCTAAATAACCTGTTGGCATCCAGATCGAGCGTCTAATGATGTGGACCACCAGGTTTTTTTTTTTGTTAAAAATGTTCTAAGGCCATATAACGTTTAGCTACGATTAAAAAAGTGGCAAACATAAACCATACTGTATAATAATAAGTTAATTTTATATTTCCTGATATATTTTGGTGAGTTCACTTATAACTTACCGATTTGAAGGAAAATTATAGATCAATAAGAAATCAAAAGAATAAAAGGTCATGATAGCATGATTTATAGAAAGTTAGTTTTAGGGGTATGATGGGTTTTGGCCCAATTTATGGTGAAATTAGAAATGAAAGCAGAAAACAAGGTCAGTTAAAGAGTCAATTGGTGCTAAAATGCTGCCTTTTTGTTGTGGTTTTAAAAACTAGTTTTAACCTGCAGTCCCATCTTGCTCTCTATGCTTGGTGCCAAGATGAACTTGGTTCATCATCCAGCCTAGTAACCAGCTGGTAAAAAAACAAACAAACCAAAAAAAGGACTCTGCGCCACCTCCTATTTGTCCCTGGAAACGGATCAGAAAGATTTCCTGATGAAAGGTTTCCAAAGCCGTTAACAACTAAAAGTGATTGTTTTGTTCTTGTTTTTCCCCTTTACAGTTTTTAGAATACATCTTTATGAGGTTATATTAAGGTTGCAAAGGGATTTAAGGAAAAATATATGTATATATATATAAAATATGGAATTTTCTCCAAATATTGGTTTAATTTAGTGAAATTTTCAGTGCCAGATTAATCCTCTGCAATAAAAGACCAGCTTATTTTAAAGGTGTTTTATGCCAACAAATATTTCTGGACCTTGGAAACGGATCGATTTAACATTCTGAAATGCCAATATGTCCTACAGTTTATGGACTCTGAGAAGCATAATTTCTTGGTAAACTTTTAAGACCAACATTTTAGGAACTAAAATGACCAGACTTCCTCTAAAAATATTGCTTTTTTTAACAGTAACTGACCCTTTTAACTACTCCCAGAAAGAACTGAAACAGGGACAGAAAACACTTGTAATAAAGCCTGATATTAGTTTCATATTTTTACTCAACTGACATCATTTAACAGTGCTCAGTCTTTCTACTTACGAATTTTCAGTCATAAAGGGCATCATTTGTCCCTTGAAACGATGTAAAACAGTTAACCAGACTGCTACTTTAGATAGGCTACTCCATAACTTTTACACCTCTACTTTATCTGCATATATTAAGGATTTCTGGGGTTTTGTGCTTCTTATTGTAAACAAAACACACCTCCAACTTCCAGTAAAAGTAGAAGGTGCAGAAAGGACAGTCTTTAGAATAACGGCCTAACCACACCTCCTGTAGCTTCATAACCACTGGGCTTTCTCCTGTGGAAACTCCTGACAACCTAAGGTGCAAACATGTCAGCCGTATTATAGAAATGTAAAAAATAAATTTCTGCAACTTTGTAACATACTTGGCAACTAAAGGTGATTCAAATATGCAGGATTTTACAGCAACTCTGATTACTTTGGTATTAGTGCATAGTAAAGTTCTACATCCTAGATATGTTTAAATATGACCAATATGTACAAATGATTTGTTAGAGTGAATTAAATAAATTTAAGTTTTAGCCAGCAAGAGGGTAGCTCTTCAACATTAGCAGAAAACAGACTGCTAACTTCTCAAGGTGCAGCTGATTTACCAGGAGCAGCTGCAATGGCTGCCTGGGTCTCTTTACCTCTGATTCAATAAGCCTTCAGCTTGTTGGTCTAAGGTCTGCTTCATGCATCACCACAGTCCTACAGCAGCTCCTCAGACCCTGCACTGAGCCCGGGTACAATGGCAAAACGTCTCCTCTGAGTGGACTGCTGTTCAAAAGGCGCTTCCATGTTGCACTGGTGTGCAAAAAGTTAAAGAAGTCCAAGATCGGTTAAGGTCTTGGTTCCACACAAACAACAGACTGTCCTCAGCAGATCCCATATCTCATCTTTCCGAATGTTCCTCACCGATTCCATTTCCTCCTGCAAGAAAAGATACCAATCATGCAAAGATTAAATGTATAAAAATATATACACTTCACCAAACGTAAAAAAAAAAAAAGAGGTGATATCTTAATAGCAAGCTGATATTATGTCAAACAGCAACAATCCAACCATCAGCTTTTAGAGGATTAACCATGTAAATATCATTCAATCAACATCAAGCTATCCTCATCCAATGATCGGTCCAGGCACACAGCAGCTACATCCAGATTCTGTCAGAAAGTCGACCTTCTCTTATTCTAACACTTATCTTAATTATCTTTATATTTGGATGTTTTTACTGATTTAAATACTGTTTGAACCCTCCTCCTTTCTGTCTGGAACAGATCAGATAGCATAAAACCTCATCTATATTTCAATACAAACATATTGAGCAAATTTATGAAGAATTTTCCCCAAATCAGACAGGGTCAAATATACACATTCTCCCTCTGGAGTCCTTTTGCAGGTTGTTCAGGTTCTGATAGACTCCTTGTCTAATATAAATTGGTCCCTCTGCTGCCATAGTCGCAGCATTTAGGTGGAGTCCATATACTGAAGGCTGAAGTCTGATCCATTAAGCTTAATGTTTGCCTCTTTAATCAATAAAATAAACATTTTGGATATCTCCAGGTTTCAAAGACCCAACTATTGATTCAATTATTATGATCCAGTACTTCTTAATTACCCTTGGTAGCAAAACATTAACATGGAGGGTTGAAAGCCTGACCCGGACTCGTCCAGGTTCGCTCCCCTTTACTGGTAGCCAGATAGCTACGAGCAAAACTACCAGAACATTAAACATTTCCCCAGATGTTATTTGGCTTGTCCATTACAGTTTCCTCCATGTCAGTAGGTGGGTCTTAGGGCCTCAAACAATTTAAATGAGCTGAAACATCCCTAGAAGAGGAGCAGTTAAAATAGCCTACATTGCTAAACGCAGCGGTCACAGCACTAAAAGCAGATAAAATGGGTGTTCTGGTCCCTTCCTCTGATGCATTATTATACAGTTTGGCGAGTCTTGACATCAGCAATATAGAAAACCTTGTAGTTGGTAAGTATAGATTAGTTCCAGCAGCTGCTTTCAGAACAGGGGTCTATCAACCAATTGGAATCATAGTTAATGTTTATGTAAAAGTAGCCAAATATTTTTGCCATTAGACTTCACTCAAAATTAGCGTCAGAGCTAACAGATGAGCTAGATTTTTATATTTTTTGACCCTGCACAGCCATTATAAAAACAATCATTGGTAAACAGAATCAGTTAAAGTTGTGTTTTATTAACAGTCCGCCACAAACAAAAACAATGAAATACTTAAAACCCTAAAATTACTAATGAGGGAGTATTAACTCCTGAGCAGAACTGAATAAGACATTAGGGAGGAAAGCATCTAAGGAAGTACAAATCAATTCTTTAAAAAAAGAAAAAAAAAGAGAAACTACTGGATTGTTTGCAGTTATTGTATGAATTACCTTTATCTGTTACTCCTCTACTGAAACGCATCTAAACAGGACTCTGAAAAGGAGAAAAAGGCAAAAGAAAACGACATAAAAAAAGTAATTAAACTGTTTTAGCCTTCTATATATATAGTGTATTAAAGTTTTACTGCATTTAGTGTAACCTTTGAGGAGTCGATGACCAGCCAGCGCTCTGTGCTCATCTGCATGTCCTGACCGCTCAGAGGCTCCCGCAGTCGCACCTTCACCTCGACTCGACCGCCTGTGTGCTTACGGCCGTCCATCACCTGGCAGGACAAACAGAGTGGTTAAGCATGCTTTTGTTAAACATGTAAATGAGGCAAACATGTCAATCAAGATGTTATTTATTTATTTTTATTGTCATACACTGTCACAAGTACAGAGCAACAAAGTTTACCTCTGCATTTAACTCATCCCCTTGGGGAGCAGTGGGCTGCCATTGTGTGGCGCCCGGGGAGCAGTGAGGGGTTATGGGTCTTTGCTCAGGGACCCAGAGTGGCAGTCTGTGGGAGTGGGGCTGGAACTCAGAACCTCAGTATTCCAAGCTCTATGCTCTAACCACTAGGCCGCCACTATCCGGGCTTTATCAGTTTTATTGTTAAATTAGAAGGACTGGGCGACATCAGAGAACAGGAAAATAACAACAGCCCTTTTACTAAATATACTTCATCTGTTTTCCTATTATTGTAGAGGTCTCAGCAAAATCCCCTCTTATTCTTACTAAATGATGCTTACCTCTACGATTTCCCTGATTTCACTCTGTGACTCCAGTTTCTCAAGCTTAACGAGAGCCGACCCGATGGGCTTGTCGCTCCGCAGGAAACCACTGAGAGAAAACACAGTGACACAAAGATTTAGGCAACTGCTCTCTTTTACATATCATGTATCTATTCTTTTTTTATTTGTAACCACAGAAAGTTGGATACATTGTCTCCACCAAATTTCTAGAACATATGTCTTATATGGTTGTTTACACGTGATTGATTAACCACGTGTGTGAACACGAGGTTGCAAACTTAATTAGACCTGGATAAAATGAAATCCTCATTAAGGCCTCTGCAGGCGTGTGTTGGAGCAGGGAGGATGTGATGATGATGTTAGTTCATATGTTATTTTTATGTCATGAAGCACAGAGCCTCACCCTTTATGCAGCAGCTCCAGTTTGAGGCCTTTAGACGCCACGACTCTCCTGAAGCCGCGGTGATTACGGTTGATTGACAGTGTGAAGCTCTGGTTATATTCTGGGGAAAACAAACACATGGTGTGCTGTACGTTGAATTATGTTAATCAAAACAGGTGTTAGTGGAGAAAGTGCTATCAAAACAAAAAAAACATAGACATTACCAAAAGCATTGCATAAAACAAGGATACTAATCAATAAACTATTTTTCGGAGGTTTTCTTATCAATCCTCCATCTTTTGATCAGGGCAACATGGTCTGTAATGGAAAAGATGAACGGATCTTCCCACCAATCTAATAACAGGTGGGAATATGAGGGCTGGAAAACCTTATCTTAATTCCATTTTAAAAGGGAAAAATTTGCCTATTTTTGGGTCAATATATAGATTTAATGTTGAACGAGTGCACTGAAGACTACCAAACCCATATCAGAGTCCATGCCTCACCTGGTGAGTTAGTGTTCTTTATGATGTTTGTTTTGTGTCTCTGAGGCTGCTCCTGGAGGAGAAAAAGATCTTCTCAGAACAGAACATATGAGTCTTAATAAATCTAAGCGATAATCTATGTCACTTACTGTGCTGGGGTAAGGGAAGTCAAACTTGATATAAGCATCCAGATCATTGGGCTGGATTCCTGGGGAAGGAAAAAATGATAGAAAACGAGAAAATATTTATTGTTATTAACACTTATTTTTAAACAAGATTTCATTTAAAGCACAGAGTCTGAATTTTCAGAACCTGCTTAACCAATTTTTTACCACTAGGAGCAGGAAGATTCATCCCTTTCACAATGATGACAACCATGTCGGTGCTGCTCAGCTCAGGAAATATTCTAGAAAGAAACCAGAAAGTTATTGACTTAAAAATAAATTTAAACAAATAACAAAAAACAGCACATGCACAACCCTGTTACCCGCCCCCGAGAGGGAACCGCTATTAAACGCCTGTGAGAGCATGCAGGAGCCCATTTCTCCTCGTGCACTTTCCAAAGTATGGTTTTAACAAAGGACATTCTTTTGAGCACCAGGATGTTCACATTTTGGAAAAAGAAGACATGTGGTTTGAGAGGGGCGTGGAGGAAGCCATCTATGTTAAGAAAGAAAAACTAACCTTAAACAGAGGGGGTGGCCTCAGGTTTCAGCTTTCAGAAACCTACAATGCAGCGATAGAGTTGATTCCTTCCCGCTACCATCGCAACCCCCACCCCCTTACAGGGGAACAGAACACCTGGCCTGTTCAGCCAGGCCAACAATTCCCTCTAACAACAACCTCTTTCAGAGACGTAGACAGGTATCAGGTATTGCAGGCTAACAAAGAACCCGATCTACCCCCATTCCTAAGCTAAAACAAGGCTTTGTTTTTGGTCCACTCTATACAGCCTCCAACTCAACGCTATTTCTGACATTTAGAATTGAAAAAGCTTCCTGGAAGGGAAGCAAAACGTCTTCAAACTTTAAGTCCAGTGGATTGTTCATTTTTTAATCTTCACCAGCACTTTCCAAAAGAAGATTTGCAATTTCTCCACTATGTCAGACTCACCACCAGTAAGTGAAAATGGGGACGAGCACGTAGGACGGCCTTACGTAAACATATCACCAGAATGATTAACAAATAAGAGGACCAATTATTTGGATGATCCACCCAGATAAAGAACATCCTCCACTGTAGCTTTAAGGAACAACACCTGGTCAGGACTAAGGAAATACTTCTACTTGGAAAACAGTCAGTTATGAATAAATGTTCTCACCTCACAGTGTGGAAGGATTTTTCTTCAAAGTGATGTTTAGGCGGAGGAAGACCCCTCGACTGAGCCAGCTTTAGGACCTCCATGCTCTTCTTGCAGCTTTCCGCCATCTTCTCAAACCTCAAACACAGAAAAGATTCTTTTAAGTGTATTTCTCTGGATTAATGCACCTCAAGGGAGAAGGACAGTTGTAGAAAATCATGAGCCCCAAACAAAAGGCAGCAGTTAGTGTCTCAGAACACTAGAGAAAGATGGAGGAGGCTCACTTTGTTGTTTCAGAGACGTTCCCAAGGTGAGTGAACTGCTTGGAGTACGTCAAGCATTTCTGAGAAGAAGAGAAATCACAACAATCCTTAGTATTTTTTTTTACAGCCACAAGAACACCAAAGGAAACCAAACAAAAAAATTAACAAATAAATATGTCTGAATATGTTGAATTCATGTTGTGCAAAAATAAACAGCATACATGAAAAATTTGGATATATTTCAGCCTCCACAATTTACCAAACTGACTGTTTATTCTTATATTAACATCCTAATTTCTAGTGAGAGTAGACCTGTTTAGTTTGTTGATTCTGTGTTTGTTTTACCTCATGTTGCTCTTTGAGAATGCTGGACAGCTGAGTGTAAACCTGCTCTGCTTTCTCTGAAAGCTGCACATCGCTGTGATGGACCAGGATGAAGTCGTCCTCTTCGTCACCAGGGGGCGATGGTAGCTTCAAGGTGAGGAAAAAGATCTGTAACAATTTGCTCTACAGTGTACGAGATGTTTTAAAGAAAGCAGAGAAATTCCTTTTTCCCCAGGGTCTGAAAGTGGCTCTCAGCCGTCAGCTCACCGTGCTGATGTCCACGGTCTTGCCGCTGCGTGCTGCTTCGATCATGGGCTCCAAGCCCTTTGCAGTGCGGAGGAAACCCTTTGCTTGTTCCATGTCGTTCTTCTGTTTGGCCTGTAGAGCTGCCTTCATGTACTGTTTCTTTCTGCTCTCCAAGAGCTCCAGCAGTTGAACGGCTGGAAGTCAGGCACACAAAAATCTGATGTAAACCAGCAGTTATGAGGAGAAATGTTTACAAATGTGGAGAATTCCAAAGCTTATTCTTTGCCTAAAAATCATCAATGTTTAATATCAGAAAAAGGAAACAGGAGGCTGTTTTCAGGTTATTTTATTTACAGAGGGAATTAAACTTGCTTAAACCAGCCTGGCTCCATGTGAACAACTTCTGAAATTCAAAGCACTGCAGCCTTTATTTGCCTCACTTCAGGTCAACATAAAAAAATTAGATTAAAAAAAGAGACTGAAGTAAGTTGCATGTGGTAAAAAGTTTAAAGGTCAAAAGCACCAAGAAGTCAAGAAAGGTCAGTTTCTACATTAGCATAGAGCTTTATGATCCCCAAATAGTGAGGGACAATATTCTGTGAACTGATGAGAGACAAAAGGTGCGTGTCCTGCAACATCTAGAGAGCAACCAACAGTAGATCAGAAAAATAACAATAGACCAACAGTAGAGGTGGTGTGATGGTTTGGGGCTTCGGAGCTGCTACAAGAACTGGTTCACATGACTTAATTGACGCCACCATGAGTTTAGCTCTCCAGGGCAACATCATTCAAAACAATGTCTGGAAAGCAGCTCAGCACCCGAAGGCCTTTACATGCTCCACTTTTCAAGCATCAACCAGGAAAGCCTAGAGCCACTGCAGAGGTGTGATCCTCTGTGTGTCTGGCACCATGGCCTCTCTACACCCGCAAATCCAACTCCGAATTGCTTAAAGACAAGAAATGAAGGTTTAAAGTCATAGTGAAGCGGCTGTTCCAATGGTTGCAGTTCAAAATTCTCCCGAGTGGTGCTCGACTTTACACAAGTCAATAACGTGAATGTGATTGGTCGTTTATCAAGAGGGCGGGATTGTTGAGGTGGAAGGTTTGAAAGCAATTTGGTTGTGGCCGGTTTGTCGGAAGCATCGTTGCTAACCAATTAGCAACTTAGTTCTAGTAGGTTCCCAATGGGAAATTCCATTGGGATCAAGTAGCACTAAATTGGTGACTTAGAAACAACACTGTCAAGGAACGCTATGGACAGCAGAAACATGCAAGAGGAGGAGAGTTTTGTGTCAGAGGTTATAGGTAAGACTCCTCCGTCATACATTTTTTACTTAGAGGAGGAAAGTGGGGACAAAGTTGTTGTAGAGGATGCCAGGGCGGCAGAAGCTTGGTTTGGTGTAGAAGTTTTACAGCCGTAGATGTTTGAGCCCTTGCCTCGCAACACTGCCAGTTCTGTAAGCTCTACACCTGCTGAAGAAACAGACGTCCATTCCCATGAACACTGGGACGTAACTCAATGGGAAAGTAAATTATTCTTATTTCTTTTTTCAACCGTTGCGTATATTAGTTGCGACATATGAATCAAGATGCTATGACCGAAAAAAATTTGATTGACAGATGACCGTTGATATATGATTTGCCGAATTTAGGTATACAGGAAGACGTATAACTAACTGACCTTAATAAAATAATGCCAAAAAAACCCCACAGATTTTAAGACAAAATTTTCTAAATTTTGGGACAATATGGTCTGATAAAGAGTACAGTTATATATATGTTTAAGCCAGAATGATTTGACATTTAAATATCATTTCCCTACGACTTTAAGAGCGGCCTAGTCAAAGTCTGAATTTAAAGTTGATTGAGAAATGCGTCAACCAGGTCTTTGCTTGAAAACCCTTTAATGTGGTTGTACTGGTTTCATTTCTCCAACAGCATTGTAAAAGATTCATGGCCAGTAATTTTCACAGAGGTGCCTGAAATGAATATGAAATCTGTATTTAATCAGGGAACCTTAAGAGGTTCTTTAGGTGTCAAAAAGAAAGCAAAAGAAGAAATATTTTAGGGGAAAATTGGTCTTATATACTGATAAATAAATGAAATGTTCGTTTGGACAGTAGTGAGAATTACGCTGATCTGCTTTTGAAACTGACCTGCTGGTGAGAGGCTTTCCTTTAGAGACGTTCTGTCTGGTGAAGGTGAAGGCGCTCGTTTGCGCTCTGGAACCGTTGTAGGGACATCCAACATCGGCTTCTTTGGCTTTTCTGGAACAGCAATCTTTGACTGGGAAAGATTTGGTTAATTAGTCATTTAATCAGAACAAAGCTATGGTAAACTACAGCTAGCAGATAGCTCACCTCTTCCTCCTTTTCATCATCTTCCTCCTCCTCATCTCCAACTTCAGTAGCGTCAGTGGAAGCGAGCTTGCTAGCTGCCTCCAGAGTAGCGATAAACTGCTGCTCAGCACCTGCCGCCTTCTGGCCGGGGATCGGAGGAAATCCTGAAACATCATCCAGACGTTTAGTTCTTGGTTCAAGAAAATATAAATTATTTAGACATAAAAAATACAAAATATTTTTCAGGATTTCTATTCGTTGTTTTGTTTTTACCCACAAAAGCAACCAGTTTATGTGCATTCAAATAATATGAATATATGTCTTTAAAAATTGCATCATATACAGGTCAAAAAGTCAAAAATAGAGTAAAATGTTAAAATGGCAAAAGACTGAAGAGAATTTAACATTTTGAACTAAATGGCAACTAAATGATGGCAGACTTTATGAAAAAAGTAAAGATGGAGCAAAGCTTTTAAAGGAGGACAGAACTTTGCGCTTTCCTTTTAATCAGGATGAAATATTAGAAGACCTAAATAATATCTTGGTGAAAATACTATTAAATGTAACTTAGAATAAGTATTTATTGAATAATGATCCCTAATTTCTCAATCTTCTCCTTTTGGGGAATTTCAAACAAAAACGATTTCTGAAAGCTCACAAATACAACAGCAATAATTGATCCTTAAATTTACCAAATCCTAACTTCATCAACCATCTCTGGTTGCAAGCAGGGACCCATTTATTCTCTGCTCATGTCTCACTGTTTGACAAATGGAGGACAGATCATGTTCCTCGAATGAATAAACTAAACTGTTGGGCAGGAGTGTCCCGTTAATAAACCTTAAAGTTGTTACCCACCATGGCTTTTCTCCAATTATTGCCCAGCCTTTGTAACATAGACACTAAATATAAACCAATTATAAAATGAGTCACATGATACTAACCAGGGGGAACTGGAAGCTCATCAAAGTTGACTGGTTTCCCAGCTTTGTGGGCTCGGATGGCACTCTGATATTGCTGCATGACAGAGATAAATAATGTTATAATAAACACAACTAATGCAAAAAAAAAAGTTATTTTGTTTGTCTGTTTTTCATGGTACCTATTTGATTCCTGACATATTTCTTCCGTGTTTACCCTTACGTGTCTTAAATGTTACACTGATCAGGCAAAGATAAGATGAGTAACTACCAAAAAAAACTGTTTTTAAATCAAAAATATTTATTAAGGGAAAGAGAAGGCTCTCCAAATTTACTTGCTATATATAAAAAGAAAAGTAATTACCTTACCAAAACCTATTCAAGCATTTACAACAACTGGCAGTAAGTGTTTTACACCCCTGAATATGAATATCGAGTTACTCTTCAAACTCAGATACAAATCCTCAACTCTAAATTAATCTAGCCTAATGTTGGGAACTCTGAGTTTTTGGTTTCACAACGGCTGCTATGAATTCGTTCAATCAACTCCAAGTAGAACCACTCAGAGTTTAGCATGTGCGTGAGAAGTATGAAATGCCATTATTGGTGAAGATACGATTCAACGAGTCACCATGACAACAGGAAGTGTCTATTTCACCCCACTGGAACTAGAGATTTTAATGAAGCGATAAATAAATAAATACATAAAAAAAAAAAAAAAAA